AACCTCAAGAGGTATTTAAATACAAAACATAAAGAAATGAGTTCAAAGTCGAAAGAGTTTTTGGAAAGAAAGCATGTTGATTTAAAAGGCCGTCAGAAGCAGATCTTTCAAGTGTCACACATAAATACTTTTGCTATGCGGGCTTCTTATAAAGTAGCACTTCGAGTTGCTAAGGCTGGAAAGCCATACACTCCTGGCGAGACGCTAGTGATAGGCTGTATTAAAGATGTCTGCATGGAAATGCTGGGCGAGCCGGCGTCTAGGAAAGTGGCTCAGGTGACACTTTCAAATGACACTATAGCTCGACGAATTCACGATCTGGCTCACGATGTGGAAGATCAGCTCATAGGACAGATTAAATTAGCAAAGTACTTTTCTTTGCAGCTCGATGAATGTACAGACGTTGCTAATATGGCAATTCTGCTGGTGTAAGAGCGCTTTAAACATGAGGGTGATTTGAAGGAAGATTTTTTTTTCTCTGCTTCACTACCAACAAAAACAACTAGTTCTGAAGTGTTCGAGACTGTGAGAGACTACATCGTTAACAAATGTGGGTTAGATTTCAAGTTTTGTGTAGGCGTATGTTCTGATGGCGCTGCCGCACTGATAGGACGGCATTCGGGAGTGGTTACCCAGATCAAGGTGCTTGCCCCCGAATGCAAGTCGACTCACTGCTTCCTTCACACAGAAAGTCTTGCAACAAAAAAAATGTCAACAGAACTAAACAGTGTGCTCATCGAGGTTGTAAAAATTGCTTTAAATTCGAGACTATTCACTGCATTATGTGATGATGTACGTTGGTTATCGAGGGAAAAAGTCCTGTCAAGAGTATTTGAGCTACGAAACGAGCTTGCCGAGTTTCTTCAGGACAAAAAAACAAATTGGTCACAATTGTTCCGAGATGTGGCTAGGCTAGCCAAGCTGGCTTATTTGGCTGATATCTTTGCCATCTTTAATGATCTCAACACCTCCATGCAGGGAAGGATGACTTCGTGTTTTACAATGGCAGACAAGATCGACGGACAAAAACGAAAGCTAGAAGCATGGAAGGGTCGAGTGTCAAGAGATTGTTATGACATGTTTCACCAATTAGTGGCAGTCATCGTCGATGCAGGCGAAGACCTTAATGTTACATCTCTACGAGTTGTCATCAGAGAAGACTTGACGAATTTGGCAGAACGTTTTCAGCATTACTTTCCAGCAGAAGAAGATCCACGGAAAGGGAATGGATGGATCCGAAATCCGTTTATGCCATTGAGAGATGACTCGAGTGTTACTATGGAGGATAAATTGTTGGAGCTGGCTGCTGACGAAGGATTGAAGATGAGTTTCGAAACTACAACATCACTTGGTTCCTTTTGGATAAAAGTGAAAGCAGAATATCCTGAGCTTACTGAAATTGCTCTGAAAACTCTTCTCCCATTTCCTTCAACATACCTCTGCAAGACTGGCTTCTCAACCATGAGTGCCATTAAGACAAAGTACAGGAATAGTATGGATATTCATTCTCCATTGCGCATGTCACTGTCCTCTATTGAAGCACGATTGGATAAGCTGACAAAGAAGAAGCAGCTCACCTTTCACATTAGTAAAGGTTAAGGTGTTAACATGCCTATTATTGTGTTAATAAAATAATAATCATCAATTTCATATTTTAGTATTACGACATATTTTCAAAATTGTCTTCAATTTATTGTTGCCTATTCCTTTCAATCTTAGTAATGTCGAGGTAGGGAACGAACCTGCAAACAGCGATCAGAAAGAAATTAGATTCCAGTTAGATTTTCAGGGCAGCCGTAATGAAAATTCCACAAAAGTCCCACATTTCAGAAGGGCAAACTTCGATAGTTTGAAGAGGCAGTTGAGAGAAGGGGCATCACGCTTGAGGGTGAACTACATGGACCTGACTGTTGAAACCGACCTCGTAACGAGATCTGAGGTTGCCGAGTTCCATGACAATTTAAATAATTAGTTACTTAATGCACAAAGGCAGAACATACCATTCAAAAACTCATATCAAACAACAATGGCCCTTAATGGATAAATAATTATTTAAAGAACATTATTGGTCAAAGGAAGGCTATAGGTAGGAGGATAAGCCATGGCGAAATTTACCTCCGGGATTATTATACGGTAATGGCCGGTAGGGTGAAGACCGAGATAAGGAAAGCAAAGAGGAATAATGAGCTAAGGATAGCAAGGGAGGCGAAGACAAACCCCAAGGGATTCTATCAAACGCATCAAACTAAAACATGAGAAAAGATTCAGCCAATACAGTCAGATACCGGCGAGCTAACTGATAATGACAGAGAAATGAGCAATAATCTGAATAAACATTTTTCAATAGTTTTCACCACCGAAAATTTAAACATGATACCCGAGGCACTGACTCTATTCAGGAAAACAAATTAAGCGATATAGTAGTGACTAGTAACGATGTTAGTAAGCAAATAGACCAACTAAAGCCTAATAAGTCACCAGGTCCCGATGAGTTATTTGCCAGAGTATTAAAGGAATGTAAGGAAGAGCTTAGTATGCACTTACCAAAGTTGTTTCACATGTCCTTAAAAACAGGTGTAGTACCAGAATCCTGGAGGATAGCGAATGTAATACCGATTTTCAAGAAGGGGGATAGATCACTATCCTCTAACTACCGTCCAATCAGTCTAAAATAAATTGCTGGAAGCAATCATTTCAAACTCTATTCGAAACCACCTGGAGAAGCACAAATTGATCAATGATTCCCAGCATGGCTTCACAAGCGGGCGTTCATGTCTAACTAATCTATTAACATTCTTTTCATCAGTTTTCGAATCAGTGGACGAGGGGAGCAATTATGATGTAGTATATCTCCACTTTAACAAAGCCTTCGATAGACTCCCCTGAAGGTTCCAATTGTTCCCTGAAGAAGGCAGTGATGGGTAGGGAAACACCGAGTAACACTGAAGTCCATTTATTAACGGAGATGAGAGATACAAGTAGTGAGCAGCGTGTGCCATGCACGACCCACGGAGTCAGACTGTGCCTGCATTGCCATATGGCAGCCTCGGGGCAATGTTGCCACATAACACGTGCATTGTTGCCACGTAATTACATACATAGATGCTACTCGGCACAGTAGCTTATATACAAGGTTGCTGCTCGGCACAGTAGCTTATATACAAGGTTGCTACTCGGCACAGTAGCTTAGATACATAACCTACATCCCCCACGAAAGACCAGTAAGAAAGGTAGAAGCACATGGCATTAAAGGTAATATTCGAAAATGGATTAGGGCGTGGTTACAGGACAGGAAACAGCAAGTGAGCATTAACGGCACTAAATCCCATTGGAGCAACGTCACTAGTGGAGTTCCCCAAGGCTCGCTACTTGGACCATTATTATTTTTTATATATATATATATATAAACGACATAGATATCGGCATAGACAGCAACATAAATAAATTTGTTGTTGACACTAAACTAGGACATGTAATTAAATTTGACGAGGCCTCCGCAAAACTACAAGAAGATCTAAACAAATTTATCGAATGGTCTGAAAAATGGCAGATGAAATTCAATGTGGACAAATGTAAAGTACTCAGTATAGGAGATGTAAACAAGGAAACCAGTTACCAGATGAACAACGATGCCATTGTGAAATCCGATTAATACGAAAACAGATGAAAAGAATGTTAATAGATTAGTTAGACATGAACGCCTGCTTCTGAAACTATGTTGGGAATCATTGATCAACTTGTGCTTATCCAGGTGATTTCGAATAGACTTTTAAAATGATTGCTTCCAGTAATTTGCCTACAATCGATGTTAGACTGATTGGACGGTAGTTAGAGGATAGTGATCGATCTCCCTTCTTGAAAATCGGTATTACATTTGCTATTCTCCAGGATTCTGCTACTACACCCGTTTCTAAGGACATGTTAAATAACTTTGCTAAGGGTATACTAAGCTCTTCCTTACATTCCTTTAATTCTCTGGCAAATATCTCATCGGGATATGGTGACTTATTAGGCTTTAGTTTGTCTATTTACTTATTAACAGCGTTATTAGTCTCTACTATCTCGCCTAATTTTTTTCTTCACTATCTCTGTGTATAGTCCGTGCCTCGGGTATCATGTTTAAATTTTCAGTGGTGAAAACTGTCGAAAAATATCTATTCAGGTTATTACTTATTTCTCCGTCGTTATCAGTTAGGTCGCCGGTATCTGACTGTATTGGTCCAATCTTTTCTCGTGTTTTAGTTTGATACATTTGATAGAATCCCTTGGGTTTGACTTTGTCTCCCTTGCTACCTTCAGTTCATTATTCCTCTTTGCTTTTCTTATCTCGGTCTTAACCTTACCGGCCAATACCTTATAATAATCCTTGAGGTAAACTTCACCTATATCCTTCCTTTGTACAATAATATTATTTAAATAATTATTTATCCATTTAGGGTCATTGTTGTTTCATCTGAGTTTTTTGTATGGTATGTTCTGCCTTTGTGCATTAAGTAACTCATTATTTAAAAATGTTGTGGAACTCGTCAACCTCAGATCTCGTATTCAGGTCATCCGTAACCGTTGGGTCTCCAGGTAAGTTGAGGTCGCCCTCTGTGGGTACATTGTGTGAAGTCACCTCATATGAGGTCATGTAATTGACTCCCAAGTGTGATACCCCTTCTCTCAGCTGCCTCTTCAAACTTTCAAAGTTTGCCCTTCTGAAATCTGGGACTTTAGTGGAATTTTCCTTGTGGCTGCCCTGAAATATAACTGGAATCTTACTTCTTTGTGATCGCTATTTGCAAGTTCGTTCCCTACCTCGACATTACTAATGAGGTTTTCTCTGTTCGACACAAGTAAATCGAGTATATTATTACCCCGGGTGGGTTCGGTTATATGTTGACTCAGGAAACAGTCCTGGATCGTTTCAAGAAAATCCTCTGAGTCTGAGTTACCCGTAAGGACAATCTAATCTATTTGGCTAAATTTAAAGTCGCCTACTATACAGACTTTGCTATGTAAGGAAGCCTTGCGCCCTTCATCCCAAATAAGTAACTCATTAACTCTATCAAGACTAGGAGGTCTATATATTACTCCTGTTATTAATTTTTCCCTACCATCGATTAACTCTCTAAATTGCTTCTGTATTCTGCTCAGTTTTCATTTCCTTATTTATTTCACACTTCAGATTATCCCTGACATAGATTGCTACTCCGCCTCCTTTCCTAATCTGCCAATCGGTATGGAATAATTTGTAACCTGCAATATGGTATTCGATAGATAACTCACGTGAGTCTAGGTTTATACATGCTTCGGTGAATGCTATTATATCGAATTTTTCGGTACATTTCAACGCCCTGATTTCATCTAATTTGTTTCTCTTACTTCTACTGTTTACGTAGTAGACATTTAAGTTAGTCGTGTTCTGAGTCCTCTCTTTGTCGCGTTTACGTTAACTCCCTTCCTAATTTAGTTTTGTTATAATTCCTAGCACTATTTCCCTGTAACGGTTCACTTTCTTTACCCACTCCCACTGTAGTTTCCTCCACCCCCGTGCTCAAGTGTTCCCCAAGCAGTTTAAAGACTTCGACATTTTTTGAACTGCCCTCTCGAGAGAGCCAGCCTGGGTTGCCACCTTATCCCGAAACAGATGTACCCCATCTCTATTATAAATGTCCCTTTTACCGTGAAAGATGTCCCAGTTGTCAATGAAGGGGACTGATATTGACTTGCAATATCTGTCAAGACGGCCGTTGACACCAACTGCCCTTGAAAACCAATCACCATCAACTCCTCTTCTAGGCAAGAAACCACATACTATCGGGATCCCTCTCCTATCTCTAACCTTTCCCAGCGCCTCCCTATACCTCTGTAAAAGTTCCTCACTCCTAACCTTTCCTATGTCGTTGTCTCCTACACTAAGACACACTACTGGCTTCGTACCCTCCCCTGACAAAACCCTTTCTATCGCCTCAGCTACATGCCCTATCCCAGCCCCAGGAAAACACACTCTAGTCCTACATTTCCTATCTCTTGCACATAAAGTCCTATCTAAGAATCTCACCAGGCTGTCCCCAACGACCACGACCTTACCACTGGGCAGGGTTTGAACAACTGCCCTTTTCTCTCCTGGCACCACACCGTTCATCCTCTTCTCTTCCTCGTCCTGCCTCTTCTCTTCCTCGCCAGCTTCCTCCAACACTTGGTAGGGGATACTGCACTCCACACCCTGGTCAACTTTCCTGAGTCTAACCCTAGTCCCCTTGGAGACAACCACTCTCCACGCCTGCTCCTCCTGACACTCCTTTGCAGATGTCCTGCTAGGCAGGACACCTACCTTAAGGAGTTCAGTCCTGAGGGCTTCGTTCTCCCCCTTTAAAACGTCTATCTTTCTCCTCAGCTGCTTCAGCTGACTTAACAGAGTAGCCAGGGGGTCGTCTTTTCTCAAAGACAGCCCCTCTTCCCACACAACACAACGATCCACGGCGGACATTTCCTATGGTAACTAACACGAGCACTTGTAATTCATTTGCCTCTGAAGATGTCTTGAATAAAGATGGGATACAGGGAGTTGAGATCAAGCCCGGACTTCTTCGATGCGGCTATCATTTTCGGCT